ACATTAAGATAATTAAAAAATTGTACTATTCCACGTTTAATATTGTATAGCTTACTGTATTCTGAGTGAAAAATTTGTTAATTTCATACCATCTACAATTCCATTTAAATATATTTTTTTAATGTTACCACAATCTTATCCACTCCTGACCAACTAATCGAACTTAACCGTAAAACCGAATCAAGCTGGCTACCAAATATTCTATGAATTCTCATATATTTCCAAATTTTAAACAATCGAAGCATTTATGAACCATTTAAATCACACTAAAGCTAAGTAAAAATTTGAGTGAAAGTAAACTTGAATTAAGTCTATAATAACATTTCATATCCAGTGTATTGTCCATCTTATCGATATCCGTTATGTAATCATCTGAAGTCTGATAATTACAGTATCTTAAATGTTAATGTTTTTTTTCTTCTTCTAATGTGTACTTTTCCTGCGAATTACTATGTTCTAGTTACACATCATTTACGTCATTCATTTAATTGGTAAAATAATTCCGTGTAAATGTTAATTTATTATAAAATTTAGAAATGAACATTAAGTGAAGAGGAAGAATGTATTTGTAAAATCTCAGCGAATTAATTTTGTAGTAAATCCAACGTTTCGTCTGGCAATCTGGTCCAAGCTTTTATTGAAAAAGGTTGGTTATATATATATACATCGTAACAATCTCTTCCTTATTTTGTAATGAGAAACTATTTGATTAATTGACTTTTATGAATGACATAATGCATGATTTTCTACTAATCTTCTTTCATATATTTAATCAGATTGATTTTGTCTAATCATTTTAATTAAATATTATATTATATTAAATAAACTATTCAATAAGATAAATGTTAATGTATATCATCATAAAGAACTTGATCTTTATATTGCATAACTGAAATGAAGAAATTGTAATTAGGAATTTATGTTTAAGTCATTTTTAAAATATTCAAATACTTTAGCTTTTTTTTAAGTTTTAGGTTAAAAAAAGATTACTTTAAATGGTAAAGATAACCACTTATCCAAGGAAAGATGTTTTCATTTAATTTTACATTTTGATAATGAAATTATTCATGAGTCAGTTGAAGCTAGACCACCATTGAAAACCTGGAAGCACTGGACGGCCGTTTCGTCCTGGTATGGGACTCCTCAGCAGTGCGCATCCACGATCCCGCACCACCCGGGGCTCGAACCCAGGACCTACTGGCTTCGCGCGCGAGCACTTAACCACTGAGCCGGCATCCAACGGTGTTAATGTCTAGCTTCAACCAATCCACGAATTTGCGCCACCGTAAACCATTGTCTTCAGTGAGTTGTTATCTCACAACAGACCGGTTGAACTCCACTGGTAACGGCTTCTCACTAGAACTCCAGGAGTTTTTCTTGAAGTCAGTCACTAATGAGCAGTTTATTATTATCGGAATGGGTTTTGTGGAGAGTTTTAGAAACTCTCCACAAAACCCATTCTGGAAATTATTCATCTTTATTACTTACTATTTCCAGTTGAAATCCTGGAAATAAGTCAAATTTAATTAAACATTCATGTCTTAGTAACCTTTGACCAATAATCTAGAAAGTGAACATATTTTCTTTAAACCTTTATGCCTTTAATGTTTTACATGTACTACTTAATCGTAAGCAGTAATCTGAAAATGAATAAGTAAAGTCCTATCAGACTATAATATTATACATTTAGTGAATTTCACAAATATAGCTAACAACCTAATGATCTACAAGTTTTTAGTAATTTGATAATATGTACATCTTTTCCAACACCCTTTAAATTCAAAGAAAGTTCATGTTGTTTTCCTCCTTCAGAAAATAAGCCATCACTCTTTCCATAAATGTTTAGAACCTCTTAAATAGTGTTTTTTTTTACTTTACACCACAGATGAATAATGCCACGTGTATGTCTTGTTAAAAAGAGTAGTAATTAATCAATATAATACATAATGAAGTTTTTTTTCAAAACTTCATTGAGCCTAGACAAATAAGAAGCAGAATTTAACAATAATTAGAATGACTATAGCCTATCATTGAATGTTAGCTTCTATTCATTTGCTTTACTTTATTTCCATTTTTTCAAGGATATTCTCAATGAATATAGATTTTTTATTTTTTAAATCAACAAGCCTTACAGAAAAATGTGCTTTATCTTCTCTCTTCATTCCCTATATGATTGTCTTTTCTTTTGCGCTGGACTGTTTTTCTCCGTTAAAGCAAGTTGACACATTTTATGTTCATCGGAATATTTCTTTTTCATTTCACTCTAAAAATATGACTAGACAGAAAACTTTTAGGTGGAACAATCGACAGTAGAAACATGACAAAATATTGAAAGATGTACGGAAAGAAGGCAAAACATCAAAATAATTGGAGGATTGTTACTTCGATTGTTATTGTGATATATATGCAGTGTCCTCGTAAAATATGGAAACTGTACATTAGATACATTAGTTGTATATCTCCCTTCACTTGTTGCTTATGTACTTCATAAATTGTTCCACTTCTGTTGTTATTCCAATAGTTCGTTTTCTTTCATGTTCTTCTCAATCCAACTTTCTGTTGGCAGGCATTCCACTTCCGATTAGTGCTACATACTACATAGCCCCCTAATGCCCTGGTACATCCGAGGGTGGAGGGAGTCAGCTCTCCCTCTCGAAATGCTTTCATATTTCCACGTGCATACAGCCAATGCAAGGGAAGCCCTACTGATTGCCTTCCATCGACATTACTGTTGTTTAAAAAATTGAAAGAACGAAAAGATAATGTCCAGCGCCTTAACCGAGTTGGTGAGTACGGAGGATTCACCTAAAGGGATTGGGAAACTGATTCCAAACCAATGGTGCACATGGGCTCCAGGATCCTGAGGGAACGAATGGCGTATAAACAAATCGTTGGTCACCGGCTACCATGGAACTGCGTCTACTAACTTTGCTGCACTGCCTTCCGGATGAGACAACTAGATCGAAGGCCCGGGGATTGTCCCCCTAAGAAAACCAACTGCTTCGGTTTTAGGACCCGGACAGTATTTCAGCCCTCACACAAATCGAATGACGAATTGTACAAATATATATTTGTTGTCTCCTTGTACCAATGTTTATTTGCCTAAATAAATAAATATTCTAGTTATGTCTATCAACATACGTAGCAAACACCACACTAGTAGTAATTTTCTCAACTCATTTTCAGGCAAAAGGGGTAATTTGTAGTGCTGTAATATCTTATCTACAGATTTTTTCTATCGTTACGTTTGTAAATGGTGAACAAACATCATGGTCTTTCTAGAGTCAACAATTCAGATGCCCCCTTATAACCTGTAATATCAACGATAAACCCCTAGATCATAATTTGCCTCGATAGTTAAAGAAATTGTTAGAACCAGTTTGCAAAAAACGGCAACTCATACTTCTAACGACACTTCAATCCTCTGGAGAAACTGATCATGTGTATTCATCAGATAAATTTCAAATTTCATTTGACATAATATTATGCCATCCCGAATTACTTTCTTTGGCCTAAAATGTATTGGGAAAATTACTACTACTATTACTTGTAAGAAAAGGAGGAAGCACCAAATACATATGCACCACACAGGTCTCACTTGATATGTGTGAGGGCTGTGATACTGCCCGAGTGCCCAAAACGAAGCAGGTGGTTTTCTTAGGGAGCCACACCCGGAGCCTTCGACCTGAAAGTCTGTTCCACAAGGCAGTGGAGCAACCTAAGGAGATGCAGACCCATGGTAGCCGGTGACCAACGATTGGTTCCTACGCCGTTTGTTCCTACAGGATACTGGATCCCATGTCCACCATTGGTTTGGAATCAGGGTTTTCCAACTCCACTAGGTGGACTCTCCGTGTCCACCAGCCCGGTTAAAGCGCCGGACGTTAGCTTTTCGTCCTCTCGATTTCGTAAACAACAACCCTGCCACGAGAAGGCAGTGAGTAGGACTTCCCTGGCAGAAACTATATACGCGTGGCCATGTGAGAGCATTTCGAGAGGGAGAGCGGACTTCCCCCACTTGCGGCCGTACCAGGGCATTTGGGGGCAATAACAAGTTAGACGGACGCTAGGGTCTGGGATCACTGGGTAAGTAATGGCGAGGTTTATTCTCAGAGTATTAGGGAATGATGATAAGTCAGTTGATGAGGTTGTGAATCTTCACTGATTGAGATGGTTAGGCCACGTGTTGCTTATGCCTAAACACCGATTACCACGACGTGCAATGCTAACCGGTGTTGCGGATGGTTGGAAGAAGGTTAGGGGCGAACAAACAAAAACGTGGGATCAGTTCATAAAGTCGTTAACTTCGAATCCGAGCCATGTCGGTAGATGCAGACTACTTGCTTGGGGTCCGCGTGACTCTCGTAACCAATGGTTGGAGACTCTTGGTGACATGGCTCAGAATCGATCACAATGGTTTAGGTGTATACACTCCCTGTCTTTCCTGTACTATATCCTGATATGCAATCTTTCTTTTATATATCACCAACATTGACCGAACTACTCATATGGATCCGGTGTTCATCTTGATGTGCTAATGCGGTATGGCAACTTGGACCGATGCACATATGTGCCTGGTCTTACGTTGTAACTGACTGACTTCACTCCCTATCCTTAGTTCAGGTGTTGACGCAGACCAGTCCTGAAGCAACAACTTGCATTTAGAGGGAGAGAAGCGCGTTCTAAATATTCTGGCATTGTTGCTTAGTGATACCAAAAGATTGCATTTTATCAGCGTCTTCACCAAATAAGACTATGTCATCTGCGTATTCTAAGTCGACAAGTGGACCTCCTGGAAGGAGATCAATGCGCCAGAATTCAGTCGACATGAACGTTATTTCCATCAGTAGGTCTACGATGAAGATAAACAACAACGGAGAAAGTGGACAGCCTTGACGGACACTACTTGAGGTTGCAAAAGCAGATGGCAGTTCTCCATAAGCTCTGACTCGACTAGTAGTGTTCGAGTAGAGAGCCTTCACAGGGTTTATGTACTTCTGAGGTACGCCTTTCAATGACAGACAATGCCACAAAATCTCGCGGTCTACGGAGTCATATGACACCGGTGTGGTTTATTCGGTAGTCTCAAGAAACGAAAGCAATGCTTAGAATGTACCTATGATACAAAACCCTCAATTAACGCATACTTTGATAAATCACATCTCTTATCCATAAAATAGTACGAAGCTGTTGTGTTGTGCAGTAAACTCGCCTTTTAGTTGAAGGATGGTTAATTCGCTTGGGCCACATGTAGTGAAAGTTGGTAGAATGCAAGTGGTCCTCCTGAGTTCGTGTTCAGATTTCGCCAGACACCAACCCACTAAAGACGGGAAATTCTCCGGGGCAAACGAAGCGGTGGAAACGACCAACTACTGCACCTTATGTATCAGTCTGTCACAAATGTAACTCCCCATATGCACGTACTGAAGGAGCAACCACTACAGATTTCGTCTGATTACAAGAGGTTGTGCAAATCTTTAGCAATGAAGGTTTTGATTTACCACAGAGAGGATAAATCTATTTAGTGGCTGGAATTGTGTAAAAACCACTGTCAAAAGATGTTAGCATTTATTGACGAGTTTATGAAGGTATAAATCTCGCTACTAGCGACTTAAGTTCTTAGTATTCTGAAACTAAATACTATAACTTATACTTGGTTAATGAGTCACGGACTTATTCAGATATTGAAGGAACCTAAACAATTACATAAAGTAAACTCCAATGCACTGATGATAGCGAAGTGACCCAGATGGTTGGGACAACAAATAACGAATTAAAAGACAATGGATTAGCTAATTACATATAAACTACTTGGGTTGGACGTTAAAATATATCATACACTAGTAAAAGGACCCTTTCAGCACATCTGAAAACAAGTCATCCCAATAAAAAAAAGTGGTGGAACGTTTTAGAGATTTTGGATTCCGTTTTTAGAACGTACGAGAAATATCGGTTACTGTTATTACGTCTAATGGTCTTATACAAATGACACGAATTTATTTCTACCTCATAAATGCAGGCAACCCGTAATTCCAAATCATCAGAGATTAAAGCAAATAACTACGAACAACATATGTATTTCTACAAAAATCGTTAGGTGAGTTCACAAGAAAAAACTTGGTGACTATCAAAACCAGCATAACAAGCAAGCGATGAGACTAAGAAATTTACAAGCCAAATTAGCTAATCTGCTGGCTTAGGAAACGTAGATGTGTGGCGCGGCGTATAGTTTATTAATTTCGAAATGTGATCCGTAAAGTAAGTTTTACCATCACCCCAATGTAGCTTCTGGTGGAATCAAGATTAAATAAACAAAGTGAACTACCCTTATCTCTCTGGGAAAAACACGAATGAATGTCTCCTTTTCTTTCATTTCTTCTTCATGATGATGCTCATTTTTCAAGGCAATATAAACTGTTAAAATTCCAACTGGTATCCCAAGAAGGCTCAATGTCTTGTAAAATAGTCTAACAGCTTCAGCGACATTGAAGTAGCGTTTTAACTAGCTTACCTGGGCTTTCTCTAGGATAGATGAAACCCCACAACCCATAACTTCTCCGACAGACTAAAGAAAGTCCACTAACTCTGAGCATTAGTAACGCACAGGTTCATATATTAGCGCCAATCGTAACCCAAAATTCGTCTTCTAGAGGAAGTATATTATTCCTTGCAATTTTTAGTATTGTGGAGATTCAACCTCTGTTTTAATTAATCAACAGAAAGTGCTGATATTATGTTTTCTGATAAATAATTCCAGTGATTCACCAATCGGTGAGAGAAACGGAACACAGCTTTGGGTTCACATTTGCATGGTAAGGACAGAAGATATATGGCTTGTATCAGTTCTTTTCTAGTAAGCTCCCGTGAGTGTCTCGTCTTTTTTGAGTGAGTCAAATTATGGGGCTGGTACCTTTTCTTTGAGTTACAGTTTCCGAGAATCGATTGCTCGATGTGAAAATAAACGGAATACACCCATTATGACACTAAATAAGAAAGAAAGATAAGTTCAGCGAAGAGTTCTCTTTTCGGTGAATTCATTTTCAAAGCTGTACAATTGCAAATATATATACTTATTTTTACAGGGTGATAATAATACTGATAACAAACTTCTGTTATACATGGTGAGAGTGAGGTTAAATAAACAAAGGTATTAGAAAAACTTTTTAAAACCAGGAAAGTTTAATAATCGTTTGATAGTTAATTGCTTAAGTATTCATCGGGTAAGGATGGCTCAGCATGATAAAATAAAGTATTGAAACAGAGATGAAATGTAATCGGAATGATTGTGGAAATAAAAACAAAGCGGTTGCGGGTGGAAGATTTAAAGGGAAGATGGAAGGTGAAGCAGGTGGCTGTAAGGAAACAAGAGTATGAAGAAAAAGAAAAATGTTATTACATTAAGACCATGGTAGAAGAAGAGGTTGTACCAGTCTCTTTTGTACACAAAATTCTGGTTTTTCAAAATATATGGCAAAATATACGGCAATGCAAAGAAGATGCAGTCTAATTGTCTTAGGAAGACTTCTACTTACCTTGTACGTGAAGTGTTTCTCGATCACCTGTTGCATATTCCAGCGCGACCCCCATGAAGCACGACAACTGTCGTCTTACTAATATCGTTTACATTCATATGTGAGAAGTGTTATTCCCCATAACTCTATGACCAGTGCACCGTATAAATTATCAACCTGACTGAGTAAACTAATGCAGCAAAGACTATATTCTGTAACGATTTGATCTTGCCTGTACACTGGCATTTGTCATGTAACAGGCTGTTGTTTGGTAAGTTTAAACGGTGCGAGTGATGATAGTAATTTCTTCTACTCGAGTTAGATGGAAATGGAGTAACAAACAACTAACTCCGAAGTCACACCTCGCGGTCAGCGCCTAACGTGGTTTCCAACTTACGTTTATTCGATATACTGAAGGTAGAAGGAATACAATCGGATCTTACTTACGAATGGCTTAAAACCGAATCACTCAGTGACTATCGTTACGGATACCTTATCCTAGGACTTCAACCACTCCGAGAAGAATTCCTAAGTCCATTTTGATTCCTTACTTCAAGCTTCTCAAAAATCTTTCTCATGTTACATGTAATAAAGCCTTTAATCAGGGCCCATATGTATGTGACCTTCTAGATAAAGTATCTACAATCACAGTTAGAAAATCTAGATCAAAAAGTTGGGAAAACTTCTTTCTCATCAAGCATGCATCAGTATGGAACAGTTTTCACTGTAAAATACTTATTTTAGATAAATTATATAAGTTTTTGAGACTTCTTGATCTTACTGATCTCTGAGCACGCACAAGCACATTTGCGCCATTATTATATATCATGGGCCTTCCACATGTCTAAATCATATCATATTCTCGGTTTCGTTCCTCTTTCGCTTCATCTTAAGAGCTGTATATATCCCCGTAGCTATATGTTCTTCTCAATTTTTGCTTGAAGTAGACAGATAACTCACTCGACCTATCGATACTGTTTAACAACGGTCGGCCGTCAGGTACTCTCACTGATATCCTATATAGTTGTCAAGAGAACCCTACAAGTTATTGCCTACTACAAGTGGTCATGCATCTACAGAGCTCACAACCCATTACTTGGTTAGAATAACACAATTTGCCATCAGCACCATGTGAGTTCTCTCCTGTACATTCCTCATCAATTAACTACGTTTACTAGCATTTTGTTGACTTACTGTTCATTACCGATCGCCATGTATATATAACTGTTGTATGCTTACATTTTTCCACCCACTTTGGTAGACGTGTGTCTGACATTATATACCTCGAAATACTCATACTTTTTTATAAATCACTAGTTTATATTATAGTCATCCCTGGAATTACAGTCCATAGTTTGCAACCGCTTGATAGGCTTGTATAATATACTTATAAAAATAATGTTTTCCAACAGAAAACATAGAGTATCTCATAAGATATAATAATTTTCCTAAAAAAAGATTGAACGAGCTTCACATCACAAAAGAAAGCAGGGGGGAGTTACTGACTAGTAGGCCTTGATGGTGAGGGCGACGGATTTAATCTAACTGTGTTTGTGGAGCAGAACACGTTGTTCGTTATGGCCTCTTATGTCTGAGAACGAGACAATCGATCCGTGATGGTAAGGTCTTTCGCTAACGCTTGCTACTCAAACTCACGTTCCCAATATTGTGTTACATTCACTATTCTACTAAGCCTACAACACGCTAACTCACTTTCATGTTATGGCCTGGTGTCTGGCAGCAGGTGAAAATATGATAATATTAAGAGACAAACTGAGATGTGATTGTTAGCGTTTCTGAACACTTCAGTCTCTTGTTATGCACTTTCGATTCTGATAACTAGTCTTCCTGAGTCTAAATTTGGACTCATACTGTCATATCCTAGCGAAGACTAAATTACGAGTAACTTCTGAGACCCGTTAATGAACTGATATTATAAATATATATTCCTATTGTGTAACTGTTCAGTTATTAGATTGTGTACATATATATTTATCTTATTGTAAGCCTCATTTTAACCTATAATTTATTATTATACGATTTACTATTCTTAAAGTATACTCAGTTTATTAATTACTGTCTCCCACGTTCACAGCCACTTTCTGGCTTTATTGTGTATAGATGTTATTTCCTATTTTATAGTGCGATGCGGTCTGTTTGGTTGGTATATAAACCAAGTATGTCTGAAATAAATGATTCGCATAGTGGAAGCTGTTATTGGTGTCCTGAACTCAACTGGACGGACCAATAAGGACGCTAGGCTGATCAGACTGGTCGAACGTCATTGGTTTAATACAGTACAAGAATGAATAAGTCGTATTTCGATCGGCGAATCAACTACGTTATAACTAGCAGGCCACAAAGACACAACACAACCCACCTTCTTGAAAATCACAACTCATTGTTCTTTATTACCGTACTATCTTATCTAAGGACTCTTAGCACATTTCGTTCCATTTATCTAAGCTAGTATAAGTTTCACCTGCTGCTTTTTCATACCTTTGTCTGTTCCACTGCAAATCTTAAGCATCGTTGAAGGTTTGCATCCAAATGCCTTGTTGAAACGTCACGTCCTTAGTGCATAGTGATAGAGCTTCTTGCGCCTGAAACAAACTTGAAACAAACCTGTGGGACGCGAGTTTTCAGGTCACAGCTCATAACAAGCGCTCATTTTATTTACTTCGTGACAACTTGAAACTTCTTAAGCAGTGATATTGAATAGATATGAGTATTTGAATGACTGATTAAACTGCCGAAATCATTTGTTAGATAACAACAACGAGGAAACAGTTCTTCATAAAATACAGATAAAATGACATCGTAGTTGAACGATTTCAGTGGCTCGAATGCGTTATAATGTAACAGTGAAATAATATGGTTTTTACATACATACTGATAGTTACGATGAATGTCCGCTTGATTATTGTTAGCGTAACAGCTGGATGCGTAGATACAAAAATATATTAAGACGATTGTGAGGATCGTGGAGAGTTCTAGATATCATCCAAACCCATATTGCATGTAAATAAAAGGAAATTGACACGACATACGCCTGATAAGAAAACCGAACTGAGGTTTACCGTGTGAGATAATAATTAATGTAAAGCGTACGCTAAACATAAGCAGAAATGTAAACAAATTAACACATTTGTAATATTCCGACGAGTAGATAAAGTAAATTTTCTGACGTTTTGTGACTCGGTGTAAGCTACTTCTTCAGAAAATAAATAACCGAATTAAAGTTAATCCAAGTTCAGATATTACAAAGATCAACACAAGTATATTATGTGACCTATCAAAAAAACATGTATGAACAACTCAATGACATTGATTACAATCTACCGATTGCTCAATTCGTACGAAGTTATTAAGTCAAACCGTTGTAATGATTCCTTTAAGTAGAAATGGTCATCACTGATATAACCAAAGTTTGGGCGGTTCAGAAAACGTGGACATTTCGTATAAATTAATGTTATAACTAGGAATTCTCGAAATAGTGCATTTTAAGGTAGGTAGGTAGGTAGAACTAGATGATCACAAATGAATGCACTATATTTGTGTTTCGTAATAAGTGAGTCACCAGTCAGTTAGCTACAACGTAGGACCAGGTACATATAATATTATTATTATCAGCTTTATTCAATATTATATTTTTGGTACAATATAGAATTGTCGGCGCAGAGTATTTCAACAAGTTCATGTTTCTTTCTTCTTGGTCGGTCCTGGCGATAAATATTGAGTGATCACCAGTTAGATGTTAGCAGTTCAGTAAATGAACATCTGAATAATGTGCATTCTTTTCGTTGTATATTGCCAGCAACTAAATTGTCTCTTATTGAGTTTTTTGTAACTTTGACAACGAAAGGTTGTACACTTTTCAGAAACGCAGCAGAATAGGTTATGCGATTAATAAACATAATGATATATTAAAACAAACACAAATAGATAACTTGTTGAAATATCTAGATGGCAGGAACAGGTAGCCCAGATGCTCAAGCAGGCTGCCGCACCGGTTTAACTTGCCATACCGCATCAGTACAGCAAGATAAACACCGAATTCATAAAAGTAGTTACTTCAATGACAGTAATATGTAAAAGAAAGATTGTGTATGAGGATATAATACAGGAAGAAAGTATTAAAAATAATGGTAAAAAGTAATTTTAATATCACTGTTTAAGGGAAGACAAAGAGTGTATACACCTGCACCATTGTGATCGATTCTGAGCCA